TCCACACCTTTGGGATGTTGCCGCCGATCGACAACGCATGGCAGAGGAACAGCCGCTACAGGTCGCGAGGTGCACAAAGATTATCCAGGATGAGAAGGACTCAGACAAGAGCAAATATGTGATCAACGTCAAGCAAATTGCCAAGTTCGTTGTCAACCTCGGAGAGCGCGTTAGCCCGACAGATATCGAGGAAGGCATGAGAGTTGGGTAAGTTATCCAGTGGATTATATTCATTTCTAGGTACTGACTAGGCTTCGCAGCGTCGACCGTAATAAGTACCAGATCATGCTGCCCTTGCCGCCAAAGATCGACCCCAGCGTGACGATGATGACTGTCGAGGATAAGCCCGATGTGACCTACGGCGATGTTGGAGGATCCAAAGAACAGATCGAGAAGCTACGAGAAGTCGTTGAAATGCCCTTGCTATCACCAGAACGTTTCGTGAACCTCGGTATCGACCCACCCAAGGGTGCTCTGCTCTATGGACCCCCGGGAACTGGAAAGACCCTTTGCGCCCGTGCAGTCGCCAACCGAACGGATGCTACCTTCATTCGTGTCATTGGCAGTGAACTGGTGCAGAAGTACGTCGGTGAGGGTGCTCGGATGGTCCGTGAACTTTTCGAGATGGCCCGTACAAAGAAGGCATGCATCATTTTCTTCGACGAAATCGATGCCGTTGGTGGCGCGCGTTTCGACGATGGCGCTGGTGGAGACAATGAGGTGCAGCGAACCATGCTGGAACTGATCACACAGCTGGATGGATTCGACTCTCGTGGTAACATCAAGGTCATGTTCGCTACCAACCGTCCGTCCACACTCGACCCAGCCCTGATGCGTCCCGGCCGTATCGATCGTAAGATCGAATTCTCGCTGCCAGATGTTGAGGGCCGTGCCAACATTCTCCGGATCCATGCCAAGAGCATGTCCGTCGAGCGAGACATCCGTTGGGAGTTGATCTCGCGACTGTGCCCCAATGCTACAGGTGCCGAACTTCGCAGTGTTGCGACTGAGGCGGGTATGTTTGCTATTCGGGCTCGCCGTAAGGTGGCTACGGAGAAGGACTTCTTGGCCTCTGTTGAGAAGGTCATTAAGGGCAACCTCAAGTTCAACTCGACGGCGACATATATGCAGTACAACTAGAGATTCCGACTTACTTGCATGATGGATGGGTGTACGATCACTATTGTCTTGTTACGTGGGAGTTTCTTCCTGGTCAATGCGATATAATTTCAACCAAATTCCCTCTGATTACCAATATAGTACAATGTAGTCCCTGTACTTTCCTGATTGGTGAGGACACGGCTGGTCACGTGGAGTCGACTGACCATCTCGATCTAGATGTACACTGCAGCTGTAGGGTATGATATCTAGCAATTGTAAATCATTCCACTATGAAAAACGGGCCTAGAAGCAGAAAGGATAGCTAGATATAGCTTCAAGGACCCATAATTGATCTTAGCGGCTCTCTCTCTCCCCCTAATGCTCTACCGTATCCTTCCGGTAGCCTGTGCTGGCCGGCAAAACGAATCATGGACACGTGCCATCTGGCCAATCACGGGCGGCCGGCTGCCCGAGGTTGATTTTCATTGAGCAGCTGCTGATTGGCTGGTTCGGCCCCGGTCCTCCCCGTCGGCAACTGCGAGCATGATTATGTCAGCGTGCAACCGCCAACCGTAACCCGATTCCAGATGAAAGTGTTGCCCTGGAAGAAGTTCGCTATTCCACAATCTCCCCTCTTTGCTAAGCCCGCCACCGACCCTCGGTGTTCTGCGATTTTTTTGGTTCACTAGGGAAATTCAATTCTCTTTTGATCCGCCATCATGAGCTCCATGAGCCTGCGGAGCCTAGCTCCTGCATCCAAGGTGAGTGACCATGCAACGATTTTCGGCCCATTCGCAGCACCGATGACATACTCATCCGCCCATTTCGCTAGGTTTCCCGCGTTTTGAGGGACCAGAGACGTCTTTTCTCATCTTCAAGGCCCGCAGGTACGCATTGGACTACCGAATTGTCAACCCACGAACGCACCACTAATCACTATTGCGCCAGCCCGGATATGGTCCAACCAGCCTTTGCGCGCTAAGGAGTCCAATGGCTACCTGAGCGATAAGTACCCTATCATTGTAAGACAATACCACTCTCCAGATGGACAGGGGCTAATTGTGGCTAACTTGCGCAGGATCACGAGTACGATGCCCTCGTTGTCGGTGCCGGTGGTGCCGGTCTGCGCGCTGCTTTCGGCCTGGCCGAGGCTGGATTCAAGACTGCTTGTGTTTCCAAGCTGTTCCCCACAAGAAGTCACACTGTCGCTGCCCAGGGTGGTATCAACGCTGCCCTTGGAAAGTAGGTGTCCACCAGAACTGAAAGTTAGCGAATCGAGTCTAACTGAATTTTAGCATGCACGAGGATGACTGGAGATGGCACATGTACGATACCGTGAAGGGTTCGGATTGGCTTGGTGACCAAGACGCCATTCACTACATGACCCGCGAGGCTCCGGCCAGTGTTCGCGAGCTTGAAGGATACGGTTGCCCCTTCTCGCGTACCGAGGATGGACGTATTTACCAGCGTGCTTTCGGTGGTCAGTCCAAGGATTTCGGAAAGGGTGGTCAGGCTTACCGTTGCGCCGCCGCCGCCGACCGTACTGGTCATGCCCTCCTGCACACCCTCTACGGACAGTCACTCCGCCACAACACCAACTACTTCATCGAATACTTCGCCCTCGACCTGCTGATGGAGGGTGGTGAGTGCCGTGGTGTCATTGCCTACAACCAGGAGGATGGTACTCTGCACCGGTTCAAGGCCCACCACACTGTTCTTGCCACCGGTGGTTACGGACGTGCCTACTTCTCTTGTACCTCCGCCCACACTTGCACTGGTGACGGTATGGCTATGGTTGCTCGTGCTGGTCTCCCTAACCAGGATCTTGAGTTCGTCCAGTTCCACCCTACTGGTATCTACGGTGCCGGTTGCCTGATCACCGAGGGCTCCCGTGGTGAGGGTGGTTACCTGCTTAACTCCGAGGGTGAGCGTTTCATGGAGCGTTATGCTCCTACTGCCAAGGATCTTGCATCCCGTGACGTTGTCTCCCGCTCCATGACCCTGGAGATCCGTGAGGGCCGTGGTGTCGGTCCTGAGAAGGATCACATCTACCTCCAGCTTAGCCACTTGCCTGCTGAGCTCCTGCACGAGCGTCTGCCCGGTATCTCCGAGACTGCCTCGATTTTCTCCGGTGTTGATGTCACCAAGCAGCCCATCCCTGTCCTGCCCACCGTCCACTACAACATGGGTGGTATCCCCACCAAGTACACTGGTGAGGTTCTGGATGTGGATGAGAACGGCCAGGAGAAGGTTGTTCCCGGTCTGTACGCCTGCGGTGAGGCCGCATGTGTGTCTGTCCACGGTGCTAACCGCCTGGGTGCCAACTCCCTGCTTGATTTGATTGTCTTCGGCCGTGCTGTGTCCCACCGTGTTCGTGACACTGCCACCCCTGGCAAGCCCCACAAGGAGCTCTCTTCCGATGCTGGTGCTCAGTCTATCAAGGACCTCGACTTCGCCCGTACCGCCGATGGCCCCAAGTCGACTTTCGAAATCCGCAACGCTATGCAGAGGACCATGCAGACCGATGTCAGCGTCTTCCGTACCCAGGAGAGCTTGGACGAGGGTGTCGAGAAGGTCAACAAGGTTGACCAGATGTACGCCCAGGTCGGCACCAAGGACCGCAGCATGATCTGGAACTCCGACTTGGTGGAGACCCTTGAGCTCCGCAACCTGCTGACTTGCGCGTAAGTAACCCCGAGTAAATAATTCTCGATCGCTCGCTAACAGAAATCTCACAGTACTCAAACCGCTGCTTCTGCTGCCGCTCGTAAGGAGTCTCGTGGTGCTCACGCCCGCGAGGATTACCCCGACCGTGATGACGAGCAGTGGATGAAGCACACTCTCTCCTGGCAGAAGAACCCCCACGGCGAGGTCAAGCTGGGCTACCGTGCCGTTGAGGCCAACACCTTGGATGAGTCGGAGTGCAAGGCCGTCCCTCCTTTCAAGCGTACCTACTAAGCTCGCTATTTTGGAATCGACCCGCAGAGAATACGGAGGATACCACGGAGTTGTTTCAGATGGACCCTATCGACGCCCTCTCCCAGCCTCATGGCTTTGAGGTGGAAGTAGGGTTTGTGGCGTTACAAGGCCCCGTTTCAAGGGGAACCATCTATGAAAAGACCATTTTTTTTGTTAACTGTGTTACTTACCATCCTGTATAGCCATATTTTTTCCTTTATCTTAACAGGCGAAGAGTTGGTGCGCTGAGTGCTTTCCCCCTCAGTTTGTCTCATATCATTGGATTTATTACTTCTTAATGTCTTTCTGTGCCCCTTGATAGATCCTTATGGTAGCTTGTAGTATATTCCTTTTCCCATACCGAAACTTCCCTTCTTTGTCTGATTTGGCTAAAATCTCCAGGGGTTGACCCCCTGGCCTGTCAACAAAGAAACCAAACACTAACCTCTTCTGAGTCTCATCTCCAGCCTTGGTTGAGTTATGACTGCTTTTTTGCTAAGTTGTTAGATTCTGCAATCATTATCATTGTATTATCGAAATCAACTATGCCTCGTCAAAGAGCCGAGTCGACTGGCACAGGCTAAAGAGAAACCAACACTGCGCAGGTGAAGCCTATTGGTAACAGAGACACCAGGATCTATAATTGGCATGTCATTCCCCGCACCAGCAACAAAGGAACTGCTTCTCAGCTTCTTTCAGGGACAGGGTCGTGGTCTCCATCGAAAGTTAATGAACGTCTCTTGCAAGAATATCTGTCGGGGCATGGCCCATTCGACCTCTGTTGTCATTTCTGCTGGCAGATCCTCAAATCGCTGAAAGGACGACGTCTCTCGCTTCTAGTGGTTCAAGTTTCTGCTATCCAGCATAACTGCTGTGTATTGGGATTTGATCGAGTTGTCTTCGGATTCAGTAAATGAGACTTGATCTTTGAGGTGTTCGAGATGGAGTCTCTCGAATCCCTCGGGTCTGTTGTCCCTCGACAGCTTAATACTTGCACTGGGACTAAGCAGTGGTATGTCTGCACGGCAGGCAACTATCGTGGATGCTGTTCAAGTGATCCGTGTACGACAGGAATTTGTCCGGACGATGGCGAGGAGGACACACTCTCGTTGACCACAGCTGGGGTCATTGGTCTGTTGCCAAGCGTGACGCCGAGAACCACTACTTCATCCACATCCACTTTGCCGGAATCAACTACGGTCTCGTCAACGGATGCGTCTACGACGGCATCTATTACTTCAGAGACATCAACAGGTTCGGAGACGCCCACATCCCCAGTGGCACTCGCGATTTCACAAGCTTATACAGGTTCTGACATACCCATGACCACAGAATCTTCAGATGTTACTGCGTTGTCCTCGGTTCTGGCCGCTAGCACGTCTCCATCCAGCACTCCAACCAACACACCAAGTGCCACATCCTCAAACCGGGGCGCGATAATCGGCGGTGTTGTTGGAGGAGTTGCAGTCTTGGTCATATGTGCCATTCTGCTCTTCTGTTGCTGTCGGCGCAAGAGAAAATATGGGAAGCGAGAGAAGGGGTCAACTCTCGTCTCATGGTACCAACATGGATTCATGCGGAAAGATCCAGCAAATGCATCCGAAATGAAAGGGCCGCTATCGCCATCAGACAGCGAAGCACATAGTAAGAAACTCACCCCATAACTAACTGGCGACTGAGGCAACATAACATTTCACTGATACTAGACATTGCATTAACGATAGACTCATCGAGCGCCGCCTCCCCATTCACCACAGACGACACACGGGCAAGCATAATTGTCACCCCAGACCTAGCATTGGGGTCATCGGCAACAAGCCCTATCTCACACTCTCCCCACGAAACGCCCCCAGTCCCGCCAACCCAACCGCACTCAAACGAGCTGCTCGCTTCAGTCCCTCCCCGCCAAGGATTCACCCCAGAACTACCAGACACGGGCTTCCATCGCCTGCGCGCTGAACTAGCCTCCCACTCCCAGAGCGACCTAATCAATGTACCCATAGAACAACGACAGCGACAGCAGGATCATATCAAATCGAGGACTGGTCCGCGGGCTTGGGAATCGCCTGTCTTGGCGTCTATACCTAGTTCACGTGCAAGCCCAGCAAGAGGAACCGATAACGGCAGCGGCCACAGCCACAGCAATAGCAACAGTGGTAGTCCGGGGAGAAACCAGGCTGGGCGGGTCATCACTGCCGACGGAGTTATCCTAAGCGCGAATCTGGATCGATACTCCAATGGCTTAGCAATTGGAGAATCCCTGGCCCAGGGGGAAAGGGGGAGGAGGGCTGAGCGTGGTGAGACAGATCATGTTATGAGTTTTATGCAGTATGGCGGGAGGCTGGAGGATCGGGACTTGGGGAATGGGCTTGGAATTGCAAGTGACCATACTTCCGATCTCCAGGGGCGTGACAATAGTGTCTCCAGGTCGAGGCCCAGGCACGCGCAGCGCAGTTTGGAAGATACGATTGCAGCTGCGGAGGATGATGTCGACATCCCGCCTGCTTATGAGGCGGAAGAGGTCACCCCTGGGCATGACAATAAGTCTCCGTCTGGAAGGATGGGTATGAGCCCCAGAGGAGGGGTTTGAAGGGTTGCTTTTGGTTTTAGTTTTGATTTAGGGGGTAATGCTGGGGGTCATTTCTAGGTTAGGGTTGGAGCCCAGGCTGAAGTTGAGATTTTGAACGGTCCGATAGGTACATATGTCATATGATATTCCCCTTTATTAGTAACAAATAGCTTGAATTTTATTTTCGGAAGATACCTAAACAAGTCGATTCATATATTCATTTTTGTCTAACCGAAAGCGTAACATTTGTTTCCTGTCATATATCGTATCCAAAAGATTTTACAGTAAATTCTTCAGCACAGCGGTCTGCTCGAGGACCGCGCGCTTGCTGGTTCCGCCGATGGCATCCTTCAGCTCGACGGCACGCTCGTAGTCAAGGCAAGCCTGGACATCAGCGTCGAAGCGGGAGTCGACTTCCTGAAGCTGCTTCAGAGAGAGTGTGTCCATGGGGACATTGGTGTTCTCAGCCAAAGCAACGACACGGCCGGAGATGTGGTGTCCCTCGCGGAAAGGAACGCCCTTGCGGACAAGGTAGTCGGCAATTTCGGTGGCCAGCATCTCGGGGGCCAGGGCGGCGATCATCTTCTCGGGGATGACGGTGAGAGTAGAGAGCACACCGGTTGCAATCTGGATGCTGTCGCTGACAGTCTTCACATGGTCGAGCATGGGCTCGACACTCTCCTGCAGATCCTTGTTGTAGGTAGTGGGCAAGCCCTTGATTGTGCACATCAGACCAGCCATCTGACCGAAGGCACGGCCAGCCTTGCCGCGGAGCAGCTCCAGGCTGTCTAATTTGTGGGACATATATTAGTATGCTGCATATTACATAAACAAAATGCGAACTTGCCTGCGTTCTTCTTCTGGGGCATGAGCGACGATCCAGTTGAGTAGGCATCCGACAGACGGACAAAGCCGAACTCCAGACTGCTGTAGATGATCAGATCCTCGGCCCAGCGGGAGATCTTAAGCATGAACGAGCTGCCCCACTGCATGGTCTCCATAGCGAAATCGCGGTCCGCAACAGCATTCATGGAGTTGTACAGCAAGCCATCGAAGCCAAGCTCCTTAGCCATAGCCTCGCGGTCAATGTTGAAGCAGTTACCGGCAAGGGCACCGGTGCCGAGGGGGCTCTTGTTCACGCGACGGATAACCTCACGCAGACGCTCCAATTCGCTAGCGAAGGCAGTGGCATGCGACAGGATCCAGTGTGACCAGCGGACGGGCTGGGCCTTCTGCAAGTGGGTGTAGCCGGGCATGAGGCAGGCGATATCTTTCTCAGCGCGGGCAATGGAGACCTTAATCAGATCGGAGAGGTGGCTCTCGATCAAACGGAGCTCATCGCGGAGCCATAGGCGCATATCCGTGGCGATCTGCTCATTACGCGACCGACCGGTGTGCAGCTTGCCGCCGATATCCTTGCCAATGATCTCACCCAGACGGCGCTCATTGGCAGTGTGGATATCCTCGTCGTTCTCCTTAGCCACAAAAGTGTTTGTTTGCCATTCCTGGGCGATCTGCTTGAAACCACGCTCGATCTCGGCGAACTCTTGGGGTGTGAGGATACCAGACTTGGTGTTGGCGCGGGCGAATGCAATTGAGCCGGCAATGTCCTGCTTCCAGAAGACACGGTCGTAGGGGAGCGACATGTTGTACTGCACCATGAGGGGGTCAAGGCCCTCTATTTTTTGTATGAGTCAGTGGGTTCTTTGGTGAGATAGAGGGGTTGTGGTACTCACGGGTGAAGCGGCCTCCCCAGAGCATGTTCTCAGCGACGCCTTTAGGATTACTCATTTTGAAGGGGCAGAAATTCGTCAATGGCTTGGAAATGAAAGAAAGCAGAGAAATTGGAAGTGAAGTTCCCCCTGCATCTCGTGGAATGGCAGCCGATCATCCGCTAAACCCAATTGGGCATATCTGGGGACGTACTATGAGTCAACTTTAACATTTCCCCAACACATCGTCATGATATTTAACTAAAATAAAGAGTACGGTTTTGTCCCATGGGGCTTCTGAAAGGTATATTGAATATATATATACATATTTTGCCCTCTCTACAATATTACACTCGCATGCCTACCGTTTCCCGTTTTGTTCTATGTCTACGGTGCAAAATCAGAGCGCGATTGAATACGCGCATCTCCGAAGCACTAAAGCAAACCGGAACTCGAGGACTCTAGACTGACTTCGAAGAAAATTCCATTTTGAAAGTGTAAGGCACATTTAACCGTGCCCGGTTATTCAATGTCCTTTTCTAGTATGTTTGTTTAGTTACGGCTTCTCAAACCCGCAAACCCGCATGGACTCTAGATATATATCAAAAAATTGAAATATAATTTACTCTGGAATTGTCACCTACTGTATGATGTATTTGGATATCTCAGCTACAAACGTAAATATACCCAGTAAATATACCCAAGTATGTAGTCACTAAACCCATTCTCCACCATGGACATGTATTCCGCTTACGCAGACAAAACCAGGGCCCCGGGAGGTGAGAACATTTAATCAAGCAGCTCAATCACAGTCCAGGTGACAGTTGTCAAAACCTGACCGCCAATCTTTTCCATGACCCTCCGACTTGCATTATTATACCCAGCCACCTCAGCATGCGCCCAAGCCCCAACACGCTCTCGAGTCTGACAATCCTCAGAGTTGACATTTGCAGCCCCAAAGACACCATCTACTGACATGCCACGACGCATAATAGCCTTAGACAATGGAACCGCAAGACCTCGACCCCGATGCTCCGGCTCAACATGCAACGTCGCCAGCGCTCCATCCACACCCAAGAATCCCCACGCAATAGGCGTTTCATCAGTATCACCAGACACAGAATCAAAATAGACTGCCATACCGGGAATTGTAGATAGCTGTGTCCTTGGCCTGGGGATATGTGTCCGACTCTGTACAAGATCCAGATGCTTATTCAGAACACCCTCCCTCCCTTTTCGGTCATAGAACCTATATCCGGATGGGAGGGACAGATCGGCGAACGGGAGATCTGCATTGGGGCTGAAATCAAATCTCCGAAAGAAATACTTGTAATAAGGGGGATCGTCGAAGCGATGGACCCGGATATTGGGTATCGGGTCAGATTGAGTGTAAGAGCCAGATCGCTGCAGGAGAGAGAATAGACCTGTATGAAGGCTGCCGATGAGGAAGGCCCGTGGGTCTGGCTCAGGAATCAGGGGAACACTACTCGTATTATTGGTAGTTGGACTGGTGTTGTTCGCGGTCCCCGGCGACACCGACACGGAGATAGTTGCAGCTTCCGCAGATGCGGCTTGGGCTGACCTCGCCAAATACGACAGGTACGGGGGTAGCAGGTAGGTCTTGACATATGACAGCAAGGCCAATAACTGCGCGCGGGCCAGGGCTAGGACGGGTGGGCTGGCGGAAAAGGTGGAAACAATGGGCTTGGTGATGTTGATGGCAGGGTTGTCATCATTATTATCATTGGTATTGTTTCGGTTATTATTGGATCCTGTTGAGTCCACATTTAATATCTCCGGTGTAGTGGCCTTGGTATCGCTGACAGTGACGATCGGCGGAATTGACGTGTGCTCCGCTTCGAGGCTGGAGTAGACGAGCATTTGTGTTGTACGCCCGCCAAAGAGATCCACCCGCGCAGCCAGCCACGGCTGTCCAGGCTCAGGGGTAGAGCCGGGCGGGAAAGTTGCTAATATGTGAGCGGTCTCACACGGATAGGCAATTCCGTGTTGGATTCGTCGGAGCAGAGTCGTGGAATACGGCAGTTCAGATACGAGTGCCGGTATTATTGTGGCTGCATCGTGCTCGTAGATGCATACGGCCATTCCGATCGTGGATGTGCCAAGTTCCCGGGTACCTGGATTCAGGGGTGTGGATTTCAACACGGGTTGATCAAGGGGATCGCAAATCGCGAACTTGCAGTGACTACACTACGGAGTATAGCCCTGGACCTCGGGAGGCGTGACGGGGTGAGTCAGAGACTTGTGGATCCATTTTTTGGAAGATAAGATACGCAACTTCGCAGAGGTCAGCCTGGATGGTCGGCAGGTGAGAGATTCGGCCCGTCCCGAGATGTACGCGTATACTGACATAGTATCTAAAGATCAAAAATGTCGTCAAGCTTGCACACAATGTCGCCATCTCTGAAGGGGTTCCACTGCGTGCGGATCACATTCGATCAGCCCTCACAGCAAACGGGTATACTATACCCACTCCTGGCTCCAAGATTGACAACAGTCTTTATGACTATTAGGCACAGCTTAAGGGAACGCAACAAGGATTTTGGCCACTACTTCATTTTGCCTCCTGTTTTTCTTCATTGAATATGTCTTTCTGTTCGATATTTCGCCCTCTTTTAAGAGCAGCGTCGAATTCGGAGGTGTAGTTACGAGGAATTAATCTGAATTGTTTTTCCACGGGGTCAGCTCCTATCAGACACGTCGATCGGCCCTGACGTTAGAGCCTTTTTCATGGTCGCTGTCTCTAATCATAGCTGCAGCCTTCAGGTAATGGATGATAGAGTGCCTCATGGACAAGGCATTGCGAGCGTGTTGTCGAAGCTCGGCTGATCATGGTACAGTGGTCGGTAAGTTACCCCCGAATGTCGTCAAAGACAACCAGAACGCCGTCGCGGATTTTATCAACAATGTGGCCACGTACATCAGCTATGATAAGCTTGGAATGCTGTCGTAACGGGACTTGATAGGCATTGGTCATAAATCTCAACAGCACTATTTGTATATTCCTTCAAGCATAGTGACGAAGTGACTGAACGTAAAGGACTAAGAACTCGTAATCAACTGGACTCTTCCGCATAGTAGCGTACGCCTCTTCGGCCTGATTCGCACCAGATATCCTTGTCATGTCGCATGTCAATCGTCAGTCGAGGAAGGTCCTGGATATCCAGAGCGACCAGGGGGTAAAAATCTTTTAATAGGCTCTCAACCGCCACATTAAAGTAACCTTTGAAATCATGACCAAAGACATCTTCGCCTTCCTCGCCAGGGGTGAGCTCCGAGGATGGATAGTGCGCGACTCTGGAGACAGCAACCACATGTGGAATCTCCTTGTGATCCTGCAGGGGCGCAGATGAGGAAGGTGGCGAGTTAAGCACCGACTGCAGAGCCTTAGGAGTCACCATGAGACAGGCACTAGTAGCGAGTCCTGTGGGAAGATCGCTCCACATCTCGTTGAAGCGTCTATCTGTTAGACAAATACTTAAATAGAAAAGGACAAGAGACCTACTGAGAAATCTTAATCGGCGATGCCCCCTCTAATGCTGGATCCTCCACCCACTGAAACCGCAGCAGTTTAATTGCCCAATCTGACTTGGGATGAAATCCGCGCTGATCCGCATGCCCCTCCTCAATAATCTGGTCCCAGCGGTGGCGAAACTCTGCCCACTGCGCATCTGCCTCAGGCCCGTAAGCCGTCGCGCGAAAGACCACAAATCCCCATTCCGACCAGTCCGGTTCGAACTTGAACACGTTCTTCAAGGTGTCGATGTAGGGGGCCCAGATCTCGCGGTCAGCGAACTTCTGCTCGTCTGTTTTAGTGGCTTCTTCGGCGAGGCGTTGGGCTTCTATGTCTTCCATGACTTGTTGGTGGATTTTGTCTTCGAAGGCCTGGTACAGGCCTACTTCTTTAAGGCCGTTGAATAGGGCCATGTGTTGGTCTTCGGTGAGGGTGGCGAAGTCCTCATTGCTGGCGTTCATGACGCGCTCATAGTCCCATCCTGGTGGATAGAATGACATCGTGCTTATTGTCTATCTTTTTCAAAGGAAGAATGAAGATTCAGATGAAGTGATGAAAGGAGAAGCTGAGGAGGGCAAGGAAACAGGGGGTGATCATTCATTCATTAAATTGGCGACAGCTGCTTATACGGCCTTGGCGGGGTACAGTGAAGCTAGCTGGTCCGCAGCCAGCACTATAGAGGACAGGAATTAAAGCTGAGGTCCTTAATATTAAGTATCTGGCAGGGAGAGAACAAAGAGGCTGTATTGTCTATGTTGCTAAGGATTGATAATGAATCACTGTCAGGAGTAGAGACATAGCAGACTAAGCTTTACACTAATTCAGCTAGTACTTTGGTCGAGGACGAAGTGCCCGTTTCAATATCCTAGGATATCATGATTATAGTTAGAGCCAAGCCAGATTTTATGGCCATTTTTCTCGTCCTTGTGGCTTGGCGCTCTTGCCAGCAGGACAAGACTTCGGAGAGCGCGGAAAGCCGATTAAGCACGTTATATAGAAAGCTATAACTAGTAAGTAGAAACGATAAGTGTAGGATACGTAGGAAGCTAGGGCTCGGTAAGAGAGTCCCTACAACATGGCTGGCTAAACTGTGCTCGCTGGGTCTTAGTTATTTGACCTTAAGAATATTTGATTAAAAACAGAGTCTAGTTATATCCACGGATGGATTCAAACGTTATTAATATTGAATCTCTAACTAAATCGCTTAAGAATTTTTCACGTCTGTGCCTGTGGCGGTGCGCACTATTGATTCGGCCGGCGCGAAGCTCTGTCAAGTCCGCATGGGCATGCCTAGCGTGCTGTGGAATGGAATTTCTTTTGAAGTTTACTTTTTGACGTGCCTATCATATGCATCGCTATGTTGGGGAAAATTATTCCTATGGCACCGAGAATGAAAAAAGAGAAGGCCGCCTTGGTCATTATACTCCACTGTGAACTAACCCATCACAAGCACTAGATACTTCTTTTGGGGAATGAGAAACATATGAAAAAAACGAAAAGAAAACAAAGAAAATTCGTCCCTCATCACCGCAGCATCCTACCAGGGACTGCGTGCTCCGACCATCCAATCCTCCATTGCCAGCCATTCACTCCACCGCGCCTCGGCCACTCGAATCTCATCCTCCGAGGGGTCACGTAGAGGCCTCAAAAAGGGAGTCTCTTCATCGGGAGAAATGTCGTAGGCAGCCTTGGTAGATGCCCACCCGCTGCTCTTGGCCGTGAACAGATAGTTCACCCGTTCTTGTTTGTAGATACAACCCACGCCAGCTTCCCAGTCACCACCGAAGAAGCCTTGCATAACAGCCGGTGAGTCCTGCGCCGTGACAATCAACCGTCTAATATATGGCCGCAGCGAAACAAAGGACGATGGTGTGGATCCAGGTACTGTAGCGCTAGACTCGGAAGGTCGCTGGCAGGGAAGTCGAATATTGATGAACGCGGTAATGGACTGCACTTGGGGTGTGTGCTGGCTATAGTCGACGAAGTGCTGAAGACAATTCTTGTAGTGTGGGAACCAGCCTGTAGGGTCCACGCGACCAAACTCGGCGTCGTTCATCACCGACGGAGCTTCTGGGTTGGTCATTCCCTCTGCATTGGAGCGATCGCGCCTATCGAAGATGCTTTCAGCGTCTCGTTCGATGGATCCTGGAAGACGGGCAAAAAGTCTCAGAATATGGGTTCATTGCGCAACCGGTGCGATAGGCAAGACCGGGGTAGGGGGAGGGAGGGAAGAAGTAACTCACTTTGAGCGGCTTGCTCGCGAGAATAAGGATCGCACACGTCCATTCGCTGAGAGTTTTCCCAGCACTCTCTTCCAGAACCCTGCATGCTCAGTGACATGTTCGACAGTCGACATATGTTGTTGATAGTATGTGTAAAGGAAGAAGATCTTAAACTGGAGGTGGATTCAGACTTGAGTTGGAATAGTCTGAGACTCTGGGGGAGGCGAATGCCTTATAGCTCCGCGACTCAGCGCGGACGGGGAAGACCGAGCCATCAAGGGTTCCAAAAATTGATAAGTGGTGAAGATCAAGGGCGGACTAGTTCGGGTTTCGGAGGGGAAAGCAGGGTGGGGTGCATATGGGAAGCTATCGAAGAAAATCAAGCTTGAGCCACAGATATTTTCACTAGCCACTCACTAGCCACTGTGAGCCACGGTTCGATCCACTGAGCCACGGTTCCAGCCACACGGTGAGCCATGATAAGCCACGGTGAGACCGAATGTGGCTTCTGCGCTTGTCCTCAAATAGCAAGGGGTGTGTGGCTGTGTCCTGACCCGACAATGGGATTATCCACTAGTCCTTATCAGGCAGTCCCACTCGTCGATCTAGTTCTCTTACGGCGTAGTGTATCAATAGTCCAATACATTTGTGGCTAGTCTCTCGCACTATTTCTCGCCCTAGATCGCCCTGAAATGATTTGGAAGCCCTATTAGTAGCGGAAGATCAGTAATCTCAATGTCTGCCATGGTTTTTAGTGTCTAATCTTCTAATATACTCGCTTAGGGGCAGTCCCTAGTCGTGACCTGTGCGACATGGTTGACACTTCAAGGCCCACTTCTCCCCCAAAATAATTAAACATCTTGATAGTTCTTGGCAAGAGGTAGGATCCCGGATCTGTTCGGCGGTGCATCTCATATCACATTTCGTGATCTGCGAGTACGTACTGCAGTTGTTCCCTCATGTACCACATGCTCTTCCAAGCAAATAAGAATAAAACCAAAACGTGGACAGAAGGAAAAAGAAAAACACGCAAGGGGGAAGAACGAGATGAGACGATTCGTGGTGTTGCATCCTCGTATCGAGAGAATTTCCCATATCGGGGACACCGACAGATCGGCTGACGCTCAGACCATCTCATCCAATGACAAGGATCCATTTACGTTCATGGAGTGCCTAACACCCGACTACCTGGGTGGAACAGAATCCAATCTATGAGATAAAACAAACTAGGCTACTGGATGCAGATCTGGTTGACGTCTGATCTCCCCCGCTTCCAAATCACCGCGGCTGAGCATTTCCTACTCATTTAAATGCGGGCGGGCTCGCTTCTGGTCAAACCTGCATCTCAACACACAGCAGATTTGACTAAAGTCTTGATCTACTCGTCATCTTGCATTCAAAACTTTATAGCAAAAATACCTCAACACCGCAACACCGCAACATCGCAACACCCACCATGAGTTACAAAACCAACTATGAGCTCTACGTGAGTAATATCCATGCTTTACTTTTGCCAATAAATCTAACTTATATTTTTCCAGTCTCGAGGAAGCGTCGACAGCAGACGGTCACCACCGCCGCCAGATGAGCTTCTCTCACCGTTAGCAACACTCTACCCGCATGTCGCGGCCCTGCAGCCACAGTACAATCCCAGCAGCTGCACCTTCACCGGTTACCGTGACACGGGATATTGGGCTGCGGCCTACACGACACAGCCTATCGATGATTCCTCCATGTCCATGCGTCCCATCAGTGGTAAGTTTAATCTCTCTCTTTTCTGCGTTCGCGGACGCAATTTAGTTCTAACATTGCCCTAGATGGTCGACCATGCCGATTTGTTTCTAAACTACGCCGACTCCTGAGCCGAGACGACCTAAGATATCGTCGAGGATCTTCTCGGGCAACTGCACGAACTGCATGAACTGTATCTCATCCTTTTTTTCCCTTGGCGATTTACTTGAACAACATGCAACGACCAGCGATTCACTTCTCAACATCCTATTGTCCTCTTATATGAGGCTATTCTTTCTCGAACGGACCTTAAGCATCAAGGCCCTCGCGGGCACGACTTCGCATTCGCTTTTTTCTTTTGTTTGATCCTGATTTTTATGCTTACGAGCGTGTTCTTTTTTTCTCTGGGTTTTTGGGCAAGCGACGTTACAGCGAGGAGTTCTTCTGCATTGGCAACAAGCCTAAATTGGGAGCTATATCTTTTCTATTCTCGTTACTTCATTTTGTTGCATTATGTCAATGTATATAAAGGCAGATTTGCCTACACATATCAAAGAAAGGACCAACTACAGTCCACCTTTTTCCCAAAAATGTCCCACTTCTTACTCCATTTGAGAAGATCTCTAAGTTGTACAGAGTACTTCATATAATTCTAAATAATATCGGCTAGGGTTGTGTTGTCAAAGACGCACTTTTTTTCAAGTCCGCACACCCCATTCTCCGCTACCAGGCAATTACCAGGTAATCGGGCCCCAGTGTCCTTTCCAAGGTCGCCCATTTGCCAGCATGGGTAGGAGAAAGCCCCATGCAAATCTTGGAAGCAAGGCACATCTAAAACAATGACGACATGACTAGATTTTTGCTTTTTCTAGAACCATGGCTAGCCTCATGGTTTAATCCCGATCCCACGGTAGCACTGGTGACCAATGCAGTACCGGAAATGATCAATATGATATCCACCAGGATTGCCGTGGGCGCAGCCACGACAAATCCCGATATCACTTGCATCAGGCCCAGTACCTAGGTATCCGCCAATCACCTCAACACTATCTCAGCAAGCAATGATCGGCGAGCTCCACACTCCTACGGAGTTCTAGCCACCGCAATTATTATAATTACTTGGAGCTTTGGCACCCTGCCAGGTGTTTCTTGTTAATCATATTCGCACAAATGGCAATATGTTCGCACGTATAGGCAGATATTGCACTTTCAATAGTGCGTGGCTTAACTTTCAGGCACGAGATGCTTCGTTCCTGCAGAACCGTATGATACAGAGTTTCAGGGATGACACAACCTATGCAACGTACTGCCGGGATTTGAACCTTGTTTACTATCTACAGAGTCCACTGCCGGGTTGGGGAATTCCCATTACTGGGCGTTTTAAGTCTAAGGGCCGACCCGCGACGATTATATGGTTGCCCTGTGCGCTCGCAGGGACAGTATTTGAAATATGTACCTAAAGGCTGCGCTTGGAGCGGTTTTCATGTTTTCATGTAACATGGCCTTCAGATTTGCGGGGTTTGGGTGCAACGTTGTGCAGTTAGCTTTTCTTCCATGTTTACTTTTTGCTTGTTCCTGATTATCCTGACGCTAGGGTGGGTATGGAAGGATTACTGCATTGCGTCACGGTGAGAGTCAATATGCTTGACAGTATATCCTTTTTGCTTGAAGGATTGAATGAGAATTATGCTACGATAGAGACCATGTAAGCCCTGGATTATTGAAATAAGCTCATAGAGAAGGGGCTCATATTGATAGTCCTCAGCTGCTATATGGCAAGGAGAAGATACTCCGTGATCATTACTATTGCCCTCGGTCTAGCCTGCAATATACAGGTTTTGATGCAGGGGGGCAATGAAGTATTATTAGTCGATCAATATGGGATGAATGCCACCAGATGAGGGTATATATCCAATAATCATAATAAAAATAATAATGTTCTAGGTACTCGGTCCAACGCATGGTCCCTTAGGGAGCCATCTTCCAGACCGATACTGGTATATACTTCCTAAATTTACTCTACGTATATTACTGTACCTTCTAATGTAAACAGCATCGAAAGCGTTAAGGCTATATATAACTTTATTATCTATTCCTTTTCTAAGAAAGTAAATGTTACGCGTGGCTGGTCACTGTGAGTAGAACGTTCCGGGGTTATACGTACCGAGGTTCCACCCAAGAGTATCTTGCAACCATGCCGTTGCTGCGCTAAGGCTTACACGGACTCGGGTCCTTTTGTTTCTGGGCTTTATCATATTTGTCTTAGTAGTATTTGAGGTCATGTTTGAGATAGTTCTCCTGTTGCATCCATGGATCGTTTGAACTGCCGAATTGATAATCAGAAAGATACAATCCTTCGACCCTATACCTTTCCATAAGCCACAGCTAACTCACGCCATCTCTCAGACTTATGGTCGTTATTCGATATAAACTGGGCGTAATAAATTCACCAATCAGCTAGAACTACTTGACTGCCTCCTTGATTGCCTCCTTGAAGATAGTCTGTACAGTGACATCCGCAACTGACGTAACATCAGATCGAAGCAGACCGTCTGGATTGTACTTGTTTTTCTTCTGAGCTCTAGTAGACTCCAGTCCTGGGTTAAACAAAACAGGGTCATCCACGGGGATTCTGCCAAACATCGACTCGAGCTGAGTCTTCCAATCAGCAACGCATGATATCTTAACCATCCCATGGAAAATCGCATTGTTTTCTCGTTTCAAAAGAATCCCAGTACGAAGCGACGCAGCGCACCCCTGTATTTCGAGTTTGGTTCTCTAATAGTGTCCAAGCCGCACAGTTGCATTCACCACGGTTGACATCGTCGGACAGTTCGATCGAGCCACTGACCGTCGTGGCCTCGCTAATATCCCGAACCCTCAATTCCTCGAGCTTAGCCGTGAGACCGGCATTCACAGGCCCGGCCCAGACGTACCAATTGTGCCTTCCATTGTGCGCGTCTTTTCTTCATGGTCCGTTGTCGGTACAACTGTCCAGGTGTCATACGGGGCGATCGCCCAGACTGTGGGAGGGGATGACTGCGCGTCCGCTCCTGAAAACTCAATGTGAATAGACGCTCGGATAACCCGTCGGGAATGCTGCTGGCGTATGAAGCGAAAGTGAAAGACGAGCAACGTTGCGAGTGCTCCATCATCGTCAGTGCCAATGCCCTGATCGACCCCGAACTTGCCGTGCACGATGTCTAGCAGGGAGCAGTGGACATTCACTGGACCTTTCCTCTGGACCACAATTCTTCGGTTCCAATCTGTCGGTGACTGGTTCTGTGTGCGGAATGCGTTGTCTATGTCTTCGGTAGTTCCCAGAATCAGTGGCATTTCCACCTGCCATAGTTCACTATCTTGCGTATCTTGCGCCATGACAAATTCCACGATTATTGACAAATGTAACTTAGGATCAGAAACAGGAGCTCTGCGGAAGGAGGACTTCTTTTCAATACTCATTTCCCATGCGTTGACAGATCCATGCTGACGAATTCGTTGAGCCCAAGTCATAGATGGCTGCAGGATGACGGTCGACCTAGCCAATTGGCTCATTCACCTAGGCGCACAATATTCCGCTGCTTCCGTCAAGCCCTGGTCTGTCAGTTGTTCGAAGAAACTTGGGTGATTCTTGCCGAGCCAATGGACTACCGGTAAGCTGAATGAGACCCCGCTCGCGAGCTCTCTTGTTGGGCGTTACGAATCTTCTTTGACCTCATTTAACCATTCAAGCAATGCGACCAATACGTTTGACATCACGTCTAAACAAGCATGGTATCACCTGTCGAAGCAAGCTCTGAGAGGCTGCCTCCTAAGTCTATCACGGTCTTTCGTATTAAGAATGACGACGATGAGGATGTCCGAGTTTCAGCGACTGGAGATCCGGTCCGTGATAATTCAAGGATATCTTGGAACTGGCATTCCGCCTGACAAAGTCTTTTGATCAAGAAGTTGACGCTAAATCACGAGAGCTATGGGAGAAATCCGGGACCCCGGCATCAGAAAATGGCCGACTGTTAGACGCGGGGTTGATTCCAAAACTGATATATCTGGACATGTCAAGCCAAGGGAAAGCCCTACACGACCGCAAGATAAGAGGACAGAGGCTGAGAGGAGTTTTATAAAGGACAGGAAGGAAGATTTCAAGGAAGTTGCCAGAGGGAATCAGAACATTCTACATTTCTTGGCAAAGGATGGCAGGCTCTTCAGGAATCGGATCTCCTTGAAATGGGTTGCTTTGCGAATAATGGCATACTGCCCTGAGCTGATGGGTCAAGTTGATGACCAGAGCCTGACGCCGTTGTCTTTGGCTATCACGGAGAGAAATGATCTATTTATTCGAGCATATAGCGGGGTCAATACGCCGTATTGGGAAAATATACGAGAAGAGCTCAAAAAGGAGTGCGAAATATCCTCTGCAATCCAATCTGGGACATGTTTACACTTGGCTATGGTATCCGACATTTCCTCACAGTCAAGGAAAATTGTCATCGATCGAGCGCCAGTTGAGATGATACATATGCTAAGCCCGGCAGGTTTGACGCCGCTACACCTGGCGGTCGATTTCGACCGTTGCTCACCTGAGCAGGTGGATGTCGTCGGAAGACTACTTAGCCATGAGTTGGCCGTGGAAGCCCTGACAAAGAAAACGCATGTCCCACACTCTGCTGTTAAAAATCACCTTTCGGTGTATCAGTATCACGAATATACTCGTCGGATATCACATGATAATGGCGAAGGCCGTTTAACGAGTGCAAACAAAATTCGGGAGATGCTGAAGCTTAACTATCTGCGCAAACTCGGCCCAGGCCCTGTTTCGCGGTGCCTTTGTCTCCCTGGAGAATCATGTATGTCCTAATTCGGGTCCTATGTAAATTCCCTACTGACATCTACAGTGGTACACTTCTGGTTTGATTTGGGTCCGACGGCTAAAGTATTTGAAAAGCAATTTGAGAGAGATTTCAGCCATCACCAGCTCAACTCAACTCTTCAATACGTGGCATTCCCGCAAGTCTCAGTGGTTTCCAGCGATGGGTCTGAAAATAAGCCTTCCCCCAAAATCAGCGGACGAACGGATATGCTATTCTTTTTCAGGTGGCTGAGGGAAAGTAAAGAGGTGGTCGCATTTTGAATGTCATTGTAGACGATCTCAAGCAACCATCTCATAGTGATGAGGTCGTCGAAAAGGCACTGGAAAATTTTAAAGTTGAGGTCTTGGATTGGCACAAGGTTGATATGTGCCCTCGAACTATCTGTCGCATTGGCTCTAACATTCACACTCTCCATCTCTACTGGTCGGGGCGAAACTCGGTACTGCGAGGCTGGTGTGAGGCTAATGGCTTGGCCAGATTGGGCTCTTTACAAACGGTTCATCTTCACGTCGACGATATATGCTACCCAGTAGTGTGGGGTGACCACTCGCATAATCCGCTAACATGAGGATCTCTAGATTTTGGACTCAGAAGACCGAACAGCATCAATTATCGAGGAATTCAAAAATGGTCTATATTCTCACATGAGGAACAGGGAAATCGGATTTTCTGTTGATGACGACTTTAAAGGGTGGCAGTTCCGGCGGAAATTCCCATCTCAAACCACCATAAGGGAGACCAAACAGGGGATTCCGGATTCTCATGCCTGGTTGGAATGTATGGATGTCTTTGTGAAGAGATTTCGCACAGTCGCATGTCCCGCCAGCATTCCGTACAAACCGATCGTTGTTGCGTTGCTTCATGATGGGGTGACTTTGCCGCACGAGGCTGCGAACCCGCAGCTTTTCGATGGAACTAGCTTCCAGACTTACGAAAGTGATCAGCGTGTCATCCCATATTGGATTTCAGAGACGGGACATGGTACGCTGATGGCCCGTCTGCACATCGCATTTGCCCAAAGGCAATGATAAAGGTGTTCAAGCTCCAGACTCGGCCCACCATGAATCTGTCTAAGGTGCAAATCGTAGAAACCAGCGCAATTGAGGTGATGAAACTCTCGATCTATCCTGCTGATTCTTTCTTTGCTAACATGTCCGAGCTGAAGGCTATCGACGATGCAGTTTCAATGAACGTGGACGTGATCTCCATGTCATGGACAGTCAATAGTAATACTCGGCATGCCTTCAAAGCCGCCATCGAACGAGCAGCTAAGGCTAAAATTCTGATGTTCTGTGCCGCAAGCGACAAAGAGGAAGGCAAAGATATCAACTATCCTCATAATTGTTCTCCGAATGACACTTTCCGAGTGGGCGCTGTCAAAGCCTCTGGCCAAATATGAGAGTGGGTCCCAGAACCAGAAACGCTGGACATTGGCCTGCCAGGACACGACGTTCTCATGAAGCATGACCTTCCACAGGGGAACGAGTTCAAACTCGAATCACCCACCGGATCTTCGGTGGTGATTGCGCTAGCGGCCGGTCTGGCTGCTCTAATTTTAGAGTGTGTCAGACTGGGACATGCTTATAGTGTTGCTTATAATGTCCATGTCCGGATCTTAATATCACCGAGAACGGCTATACGCTCATAAGGACGAGATAAGGGATGATGAAGGCTTTCGCGAGGATTAGTATGACCGAAAAGCTAATTGAGGTGGCCAATGTCTTTGCAAGAGGCCCCGATGAATTGAAGGACAATAGTTCGAAATTGAAGACAGCTGCGAGAATTGCCCGAAAAGTCTTGGACAAAGGCGCTTTTAGCCCATCGGCCGGCAGGAGCAGAGGGGGTACATGATTTATTTCAGCTAAGGAAGGAAGAGAAGCTCAATAAGGTATGGATAATAATCGTGACTTTGCCTCTTCTTGTTGGTCGCGGGTTTTCTAGCCCCTAGATTGTGGCTTCCCATAGTTTTCTGCCGAACTGACCTACTGCTAAAAGCGCGAGCATTCGTCCTGGCTTTCACTTTGTATTTATTTGCATGCAACTTTGGGCAGCTCTGTTTGTACGGTAATCTCAACACTGCGTAACAAAAACAAAGCCCTAGGCGGGCTTCAACAGCTCCCTTGCACTGATCGGTTTCTGATCATTAACTAATTTAACGATTGATTGGTCGGATTCCATAGCTTCATGACAAAACCCCTTGAAAAACCTCTCTTTTTTTCGACGCATGATTCGGGCTCGACGAAGGCTGAGAAAGATTCAGCATGGACGTGATCTTCGAAAGGAACAGACCTTTAGAATATGAAGTGTGATCAAAGTGAGGAATGGATAGACACTTTTATATAAGCCGGCTCTATTATTATTTTTGATACCTGGCGCTCACCTAGGCCGCAGTTTTACATTATCTTAAAACTGAACAGACTAGTCTATGAAGACTATGGAAATTTTAACGCCCCTATGAAATCTAACATGTTCACTTGATGATTTGTCACCGGCGTGTAAGTAATTGGCATGATGGTCTGTCTATCTGCCATGTTTGTGGGTTTGGCTCTTTGTGGATTGGCCAAAATGCCAATCTAAAAAGAGCGGATGGAAATGGGCAACACTGTCTGTGCAACATATATAGTAGAAGAACAAAAAACAATAGGCCCAAGCCGCGAATTGAACGCGGAACCTCGCGCAAGCATGCTTAGTGTGAACCCTAAGCGCGAATCATACTGAAAGATATTGTTAATGAAATGTACTACTAGTTAATTGTGGGGCTGAAGAGCTTCTTACCCATTAGACCACCCGGGCTATTAATAGAAAATTTTAGCGCAGTAGTGTCTTATGAAGAAAAACGTCGGATTCCATATTTCCGGTTTGCAGCCCTGTGTTGTTCCAAAGTTTGTGGGAACCCCAAGATGGAGAGCAAGGCTACGAAGAGGACGATGAAAGACCGCTCGTGATATTGGTACTACGGCGGCGAAATATCTGAATCACAGCGAGCGAGGCCGCCATGAGTTTGAATGGAAAGAATATGCAGCTGGAGAGGAACTCATCCGGTGGGTCTCAATATTGCGCTTGAAGCAATAAGCACTGATACTTCTAAACTACAGTTTGCTGATTTGAATCTTTTTACTAGACTCAGAATTCTTCATCTTTAACAACTTTCCTCCGCGGATGGTCATCAAAGAGATAAGGATGCATATGACAACGGCAGAAGCTTGCTTCCAAGCAACAGCGGCAGACCAATGCCACCACCACCACCAACTCCAACTCTTCCTGCCTGCCTGCGAGAAGTCTCTACTGGATGATCTCGTTCCGTGGGTCATTTGAGTCGATATTTAAAGACGACTTATTTGTCAATATCCGCCACCTCCTCGCTACCCTGGGTCCATTGAATTTATTCGCATTGACATCAGGTAAGCCACAGTCCAAGCCTCCACTGCCAAATTTTGTTAATACTGTAACCATTAGCAATCCATTCACAGATCTTCCAATTCCGCAGCGTGATGTGCAGCTTCCAACTCCAAGCCCTAATATAAAATGCACTTAGCAACTAGTAAGATATCTGGCACCTGTTCTCGTCGACGTTCCCCTGAGGAATCGTGCCACATATAACAATCGAAGACCCTCTTATCCAACCTAAGGAACTCTGGAGACAAACGAGATTCTTCCGCTATGCCCCCGAGTACTGGCTTCTAGCCCACCTGATGGCAGATCGATTGGTAGTACTTGGCACATCTAAGCCGGAGAATGAGTTGGAGCCGCTCGACGAGGGCCCGCTGGACCGATCCTGAATGGATATGATCAGACTAGTATGCATCATATTAATGATCTGATTATGGGATTTTAGGCATTGCAGATATGAAACCTGGATCTGATGTACAATTAAAACGTTTCACTACAAAATTTGAATGAATATCATGATCTCCTTTCATATATTGCTATCTTTTCAAGTCCCGGATTATTTTGAGAATACAAATCGCTATTGCTGAAACAATGCAGACTTTGAATAAAGGCCAAAACTGCGGTAATGGGTCATCACTGGCAAATTCCGTTAGTGATTAGCTTGTCGCAACTGGATATAACATTTACCTTTCATGATACGAACTCGGAAGGAACCCAGCCTCACGTAATGATTCTAGTCTGAGAGACTCAGACCCATCCTCTCTCCAGTCTATTGTTGTTTCGTGGAGCCTGGGTATTGTGTCATGATCTTGTTCAACTCTCGGGGCAAGAGCATTTGCTGATGCCGCATCGTAGACTGGTTGTGGTTGTATTATCGTCTGAGTTGTAGCTTTGTCAGGTCCAGAAATTTGCCCAGACCGAGCGCCAATAGATGCGCCTCTAGCCGAGAAGCTGAGGAGGAGGACGAAGAATGTGGTAAATAACGGCCGAAAGAGCATTTTGGTAAAATAAGGGTAGTGTTTGAAGTCCTTTGCAATGAATAAGTGCCCTGGGGAAACGGGTTTGGGTGTTATATAGAGGTTTCCGGGGTTATTTTGAGTTTTGATCTAAGTTAGGAGGCTGAAGTTAGATTTGCATTTTGTTTGTCTCCAAGGCATGGCCATGAGGATGACTTCTTGGCGCTTATTGGATGATAACGTATAGCGTGGCTGAGTTGATCTTGGCACGGAGTTAAGCCTTGTTTATCCGACTTGATGACAACGGAGATCCATATAACCTTGGACTCGTCTCAGAGCACGTTTGATATTTCTAAGCAAAAAGCTATAGGACATCGGCTTTACTTTCCCTTACACCTCCTAGCACCTCGACTGGCAACCTTGCGTACCCTAGAAAGAAACCCTACCATGTACGTATAGGTTTTACCCAGCGCTCTACAAATCTCGGAGACTGCCGTTCCCCGAGATGTTAGTCAGTCCAGAACTACGCCTGGCAGTTGCTTGAGAAGGCAACAGGATAGAAATTGATAATGCCATGCAAGCTGCTGACGTGCCAAGAGATCCACCGGGTGGCTTAAGCTAATCACATCAAGTTGAAAACGACCTTAATGGATTCTTCCTATGGGATTATAAATGCACATCGTTGAAACTATTTTGGGCTTGAGTTGATCTTCGAATTCACAGTTCCAGGCAGCCAAAATTCATCTATGTATGCAGTTGTATGTACCGGATTTTAGGCCGCGGATGCCAATTTCCCGATCGGGGTGCCGCCGCTTTATGAGGGCGCTCAGGGTCCTGCTCACTGAGTATCTCACAGCACAGGGTGATTGCTCAGTGATACTCAAGGGCATGCTTAGTAATGTCAAAATAATGCTCAGGTTATGCTCGGTGAGCACTCAGACGTGCTCAGGGAACGCTTAGGGAACGCTCAGGGTATGCTCAGTGAGCACGACCTGAGTGCTCACTGAGTACTCTGACTGCGCTTAGTGAGCGCATAGACTTGCTCACTCTCCCGCCTGAAAATAAAGGCAGAGATAGAACAATTTAATCACGTGATATATAGATCATTTATTAGCCATCCATCTATTTGTGATACTAGCGGCAGCGACTAAAAATCCACCTAATATTAACCATCCTTTTTGTTGATAGCCCCTGCCCTCAGGAAAGTTATTCACTCGTATGGCCTCTAAGAAATGATGACGGGTGAAATTACATGCCTTGTGCCTTTTGCCCAATTCCGGCTATAGCCAGGATGGTTTGCATGAGGTACTTAATATCCAGTCGAGCTATAAATATAGCGAAATCCCCTACAGATAGTCAATCACTAAAGCTTCGTAAGCCTTTTATAGCTCACTATCTCTTTTTATTCTCTTCATATTTCGTCCTAGCGTATAAGCGTCCCTTTCAAATCCTAGATTATAGGTATAAAGCGCTAGACTTGCGATTTAGTAGGGGAACGGCGTCGCGCGAGACGGAAAGAAACTAGATTCTAACCCGAAGCCCACCGAGAGAATGATACCACACGTGGTAAGTATAAACGTACCGATAAGTCTAAAGCTCTTCACCGGTAGTACGTTAAGCTCTAGATCGAGTGAGTGGCCCCGTAACGCTTTTCCCTAATTTCCGTGATTATTAATTTCTTAGGTTTCTAGTTAAAAGCGGAAAAGTAGCTGATAGTTTTAAGGTGGAAAAGGGAAGCCCGGTGCCCGAAATTACTTAAATTAAAGAATTTATTCGGTAGTATATTCCACGAAAGGGCGCCTCGACCTAGATAGAAGGCATATGGTAATCACTAGTCTAGGACAAACTGGCTCTAAACCGTCAATATATTATTGGGTGAGTGGGTGAACTAATCTCATTTAATTTTCCACCCTTAATTTGACACCGGGCCGCGTTCCAGAAGTCACTTTTGTTCATATTATCTTAGAAGACGGTTGTTTTAATAGAAGCCGCCTAAGCTGTATGGTAACACGCCTCAAGTTAACAACATACATATAGAGAGAGAATAGAAGTAAAACGTAGAACCATGCCCTGGTCAAAAATGTGGCCGGAAAGCGGAAAGGTATAATTTGTTAAATAAAAATGTTGAGAGCCCTTAAGTTGAATCATTAAACAGACTCGTGTTAGGAGCGAATAGTTGAGGTCGCTGGCCTCGAAGAACGAATAAGCATACGTAACCAGGCAATTAAGTAATGATAGGGGGATTGAGTGGTAGATCCGAAAAAATGAACAATCTGCTCAGCCAGGGTTGGAAACAAACGGGCGTTTGTATTACTCCTTTTACACAAACGCTCTAAGCAGGATCTTAAACACGTCCATGTAAATCAAATTGTCAGGCTAGACTCAGTGGAATGAGTGTGTGTAAAATATTTATTTAGAAATTAATTGACCAGACTGTCTACTCCACTCTGCTTCCATGCAACCTGTTTAATAACTCCCTCTGCTAGCCCTATCTCTGACCCTGCCCTTAATCTTGACCCTAGTCCTACCGCGGGCACTGCTTTTGACCATGCCCTTGTCTCGCTGGACAAGAGCCTCAGGAGGGAGATGATGATGGCGATGCTGCTTTGCTCGGGCTGCTAGATCCTACACTCTTAACGAAGCGGAGCTTCTCGGCGATGATAGCGGCGGCGCCTTCCAAGAATTCTTTGAGCTGAACGAACGGGCTGCAGACGCGATGGAAGAGGATTGAAAGGAGCAATGAGAAAAAGAGGTAAGTGAAGTAAGCGAGGTGAACGTCGACTGACATGATGATTATTGTGTTTCTTTATTGCTATTTTATGCTATTATTGTATTCTGATATATCTATACTACCGTTCTCCAATTCGGCGCAGAAACAAAGCTTACAGAGGTACCTAATCCTTCCCCCTTATAAATTTAACCACCAAAAAGGCCCAGTACTCCGATAAACATAAACATATCTCAAATTCTCAACCTATGTTCCTGTGGACGGTATCTATTGGCTCTAACTAATGTCTAAACGAGCCCGCTTGCAAGGATTTTCAAGTCCGATCCTGTTGTCTCTTTCCCTCTGAATGTGTAGATTGTGAGACAGGAGAAAACTAAAAGAAAAAGAAATAGCTGGAGTTATATTGAAGTGAACAAGAGTCATAATTGTTTGCAAGTCGAACTTTTATATAAACAGAACCACAGACCTGAGTCCCGCGAGAAACGTAGGCATTGAGATGACAGACATCACGACGTCGCTGCGATATTTCAAGCGCAGGTAAATGGCTTACTTACTGACCCCAAGTGGAACTTATCAACCTACAGAACATAGTCAGTAGTCTCGCTCGGATGATGAAAGGGGAAAGGCTCACCAGTTCGGCGATGGTAGCGTAGGTACCGCATCCAAAAACAATCATACCAACCAGGAATACCACACCATTCAAAATCGCAGGCTTTAAATTGTGCTTTTCGTACCACGCACCTTCTTTCAAAAGCATATACCACATGATTGGTGGGATATAAAAAGACAGACCAGACACGAATAAGGAAGAAATGATAGAGAGCAATTCTGAAAAGATGGGGATAGCCTCAGCAATGATCCAGGCTAGGATGGTAACAACAGAGACGAGACCAAGCCATGTACTCCAACCCTTCGCGGTGTTGACGAAGCGAACAACCGAGTCCTGGTATATCTTTCCGTGGATATATCGACAGACAACTGTGGTATTGATCGACCCCGAAATGAAGATGACTGGAAGCGCGATACCGAAGACAACCCTTGAGATAACGGGGCCCGCGGACAGCAAAGCAGGTGATTGAACCTCCTGCCCGACAAAGGCATAGATGATTGACCCTGTCAGGGTGTAGATAACAATTTGGATACCACCTAGCCACCATAGCGTTTTAACATAATCCTCGGGGGTATGCATATCTTCCATGAAAGACGGCAGACAACCAGCAAAGGAATATGCAAAAACAATATTATTGGTGGCTACGATAGCCGCGGAGAAAGTGAGACCAGGCTTCGGCCAAGCAGACCACGGCGAGAGATCCGCAGCAAAGCCACCCGAACCATTCGAGCTCTGAATACCAGTGGCAATCATCGTAATCCCTATAGCCAAGACAATCGACGCGAAGTCGACATAGCCCAGTATCGCAATCTCAGCAAAAGACGGAGGAATAGCGAGTAACATCAGGATTGCAGCAGATGCAACACTGAAGATAACAGAACACGAACTGCTTTGAGCGATATTCTGGAACGCAATAGCGCCAGTCAAGCAATGCGACCCAATAACAAAGACAAGAAGAGCAACAAAGCTGCCCACGAACAGTTTTGATCCCAAACTTCCCAGCAGAAGTCGACCGACGTCGGCATAATGACCAACTTGTGGATACCGCAGTTTGACTGCACCGATGTTGTAGCCCGCGTAGATTGCAACGAAGCCAAGTCCAATAGTCAGGATCACACCTGCGACCATTCCGAGGGCGGCGAATGCAGATGGTAGGCCTAGGCTTCCCAGGGCGATTGCCTCAACTATCGAAATGACAGTGAGTCGTTTCCAGCCTAAACGGCGGAATCGGGCGTTTCCTTCTAAGATTCCTTGTAACTCCGGGTCGGAAAGGCTCTGGTCCTTGGGGAGACCTTCGCTGGCCATTGTGTCGAGATCTCGTGGGTAGCGTATCGATGATTTGGTGAACTGTATACCGGACTTGTGTAGATGTAAGTGCAACCTAACAAATGTAAAAAACAACGAAAAGAAGGAGAAATCAAAATGAAGGAAAGGCGGATCAGATAAGATCAAAGAGCGAAATCGACCGATGGTCGGACCTGCAGAGTGGACCTCGGGAGAAACCCCCTCAACATCATGACATTCTGCAGTACTCCGTACATACCCTTATGAAGGCTGTCTAGATGTGGAGCACAGTGGAATCAGTCAAACCAATGTGTATCAATCGTATTGATTGAGACGTGGGGAGAGAAGACTGATTCGCAAGATTCCTGGCGCTAGATTCGGTTCATTTATATTCGGCAGGTAAAAAGTAGGTCGTGTCGGGCCAAGCCGCAGGAATTTCAATGAGACAATGCCATCCGCTAGGCTTCTACTGGATAAGCACCGGGACTTTTCAAGGCCATTAGCGAAAATTTCGAGGTGCCAACCCCAACTCCCGAATGTTGTACGTAATTGTCTCTCATAAGTTCAGCCTGTGAAGGACATCTCTTGCTTTTCAGGTCATTTAAGGGTAGAAATTTCTTATTCAGGTGAGATTGGCAAATACGATAGCTGTTGTTCAGTGTTCTTTTCTTCATTTTGTTTGTTTATGGAGCCGTCTTCTCGAAATGGGCGATCGGAGACATAACTGTGTTGTCTTCTGTTTCCGCATAGTGAATGATAAGTACTTGATCTGTTATAGGTACAAGTGTTGTCTCGAAATGCCAAATCCGATAATGGACGCAAAAGGAGTCGAGGAGCAAGCACATCGTAAGCCCTGTAGGGCGGGACCTCGGGTGGAGGTCCCGTGTGATCACGTGATTACCTTTAAGTTCCAAGGTTCTAAGATTCAGAAACCAAGCTAGCCCAGATAGGCATAGCGGGTTGTTACTCGGTTGACGATATGTCCACCCGAGGAGCACCATGCGCATAAACAAAACAAATAACCTCACGCCATTGAGAGTGGAATAAAATAGGTATATATAACACTCACAAAGAGTTTTAAGGTTGGTCTTGTCATACCTGACTTTAATCCCGTAGCAACTCTTCATATGTCGGAAATTTCCAGTCCTTGACAGGATCCGCAGAGAAACTTCTGAGAAGATTCAATCTGAAAAAGGAAAGGATTCCCACAAGATGGTTCCGGCGGACCTCGGCCTATAACACAGATATCCCTGAGAGATTCTTCGGATCTCGGTGTAGGTTTATTTGCATAGCTTTGTGGACGAGAGATCCCAAGGAGCTCCACACAAGATCAGCCCCGATTAAGAAGATTTGTCGAGCTAATATTGTGAGGCAGTCGATTTGTAGCGCGGAAATATCCAGTCGGTCTCTTCCTACTGGCCCAGAAAGCCATGCTTAAGCAGCATATAACCATCGATGAACCGCTTTTCGGAATCCGATTATCTGTATTTTCCTGCTTGTGCAGGCTTGACCCTATGCAAATCACGAGAAGAACTTTCTACACTCCGTCGGCCAAGCGATTAAGGGCCCTTCGATTTGTGGATTAGGGGCTTTCTTTTTATACTTATATATGTATTCGACTACAATCTAGAACGTCTCAATACCTTGCTCAAAAGGCTTCCCAGCTCTGCAATGGATTTAACCTTTAACTATCATTTCCCCCTTAATAGGCCACAAACAATAACCAAGAACCCAATGGCGATCAAGAGTAAACTTTGAGGAATGATAGGAAGGCATTAGGCTACACGTAACGAACTATTTTACTATATTAACAACAGCTCTAAGCTATTCTATAAAGTTCTCTGTTTCCTTTCCTAGCTTTAGGAGAAGAAATAAGATCGCCATGATTAAAGAACAACTACCATCCCTCCTAGAACGAGCGCGAACATGAGAGTTTATCGTGCCTCTTTCCAGCCGGTCATATCGCTAACGTGTGCTAGCGTTAAATAGGTGTGTTTTCCCTAGATGACTTTGACATTTTGAATACCGAGAAAGCGTAGGGCTCGGCGTTGGATTATATAAAGTCCTCTAGAAAGGGCAGATGTATATAAATTGAGCACAATACTAACTCACGTACGTTCAGACTTGGCCACGGCGCATTCAGCAAAAAGCATGATCTCAGACTTCACAAAACAACTTCGGCACCCCAGACTGGTCACTTAACTCCATAAGGAGACCACATTAACTCCCCGAGCTGCGGTCAGCACAATATTAGCCGGCATCACCCCCAGTCCCCTTCTCGCATTCGCCGTTCCAAGCACTGATATCTCTAGAAAATCCTCACTAGGGTGTACCCCATCTCGGTCAAAGCAAACTATTGACCAAGGCAGATGCGCGGACCACCGTTATAGGGATGCACGTCCACGGTTTGGGAATCCAAGGTCCCTCCTTTATTTCCCAATTATCCATCACCTTCGATCCCTAGTAAATCCAACGCTCGGGATGATACTCCCAAGGGTCCCATCCGCGTAGGTATCCGGATATGGGTCAGAACGGTGTATATAGAGAGGCGAGTAAACGACTATAGTGTCCTTCTCTATATGGACGGGATGAGTGCCGTGTGGACCCAGCCTGGTGTCCGATAGCGCGACGCGCATATTGAACGGGATGGCTAGATATAGACGCAGCGTCTCTCTAAGGATTGCTTGAATGTAGCGCATGTTCTTCAGATCTACATACGTCGGGGCGGAGATGGTGCCGACCTACGCAAGAATTTCCTCGCGTAAGCGCTAGACCACGTCTAGGCGCCCGGACAACTCGTATAGTGTCCAGGCGAGAGTGGTTGTAGTGGTATCGCGGGCAGCTAGGAGGACCGAAATCAACTAGTCACGAATGACTTTCGGATCTTGCGTAAATGTAGCCAGTCCTTCGAGGTAATTGTATTCTTCTTCGGATCCTTCCATATCCTCGGAGGTGCGCCGGCCGAGGGCCGGGGGTTGTAGGATAAATGGATCGACGAAGGAGTTAATCGTTTTTAGACCTTCATAGTATTTGGCCTTAGGAAGGAAGGCTTATAGCGGTCTGGAAATTGAATTGGTGAGCAATGACATTTTGCGGAAGCGACGGACCTGATCTCAAACTTACCTAGCCATAGTAATCCAGCTTTGGATTCGCTGAACATCGGTGAAAGCCGTAGGGAACCTATCAGCCGGGTTTGATAGGATGAACGCTTTGTCCGAGCAGGAAGTCCGTGGCAATATCCATGGTGAGACGAAAACAGAGATCGAAAGCATCAACCGGCTGCTAGTCATGGTAGGGAGATTTCAAAATCCCTAAAAGCTTTTGAACATATCTCTCAAAAGTCGACAAGTTGGAAACTCTGTCCTGAATAAACATGGGTCGAATCAAGGCTCGACTAGCGTGCCATTTGTCTCCGTCGGTGGTGAAAATGGCATCGCCTAAGAACTCCCTCCACTTAGTATGGAATCTTTTTCCCTTCCCAAAGTCTCCGAACTAGGTGGTTAATAATGCCTTGACGACCTCCAGATCTCGGGATGCAATGGCGGTCTGAGGCCCCAATCGAACCTCTAGAGTTTGAAAGGGATGGTACTTTCGGAATAGTTCCCCCCGGACAACAGGCTGTTGTTTTGCGCGCTGTAGATAATTCCCCGTGTAATGTATCAATCCCAAAGAGAAGAAATGTGCCAATTGGGGGCAGGGTTGAATCTCTTGGCGTGTTTGGGGGGAAAGAGTAGTTTCCATACAGATCTGGCAACGATGATCAAGAATAAACAGGCAATTATCTTCGGACCCCACGAGGGTAGCGCGAAGCCCTCTTTCAGACTTGATAGGTTTTCTAGCATTGTTCTCCGTATCAGAGAAGAAGAAGAAGAAGAAGAAGAAGAAGAAGCCTAGAGTAGTGGTAATTATCAACTCGACTTTCATACGTTTTGGGGGGTTGGGGGGGGAGGGGGGGATTAAAGCGAGGCGAGAGAATTGGACTGACGTGAGGGGTGAACGATATGGACCGATGCCAGCCTTATCTTAGTTGTATGTAAGCTATATATATAACCTTGGAATATAAATTCATAATTAAGAAAAATAATGCCTCTATCACTGTCACTATCTCCCCTCTGACATAGTCCCCTCTCTTATAGAGGTGACATGGCTGTAGTGGTGTGGAGAGGCGTGCCAGTTGCATACGCTTCAATCACTGTTGTGCACCACTGTGTTGTTTCAAAAGTACTTCTTTATGGATAGAAACAGTAGGCATTCTTCTTTGCTTTACGATTTTTCCATACCAGAGTAGCTTGCTTTCTTTGTTTCCAAGTTCGCCGCATATCTTAGGATTATGATGGCTATAGATCCAAACCTTTCCAATTCCTGGTGCCGTTACGAGCGCTAGGAGAGGGTATAGCCTTGACTAAGTTGTTACACGTAAATGATAACATGTCCGCCGGAATATTTATAACTAAATTATTCGTCTCACTCCTAGTAAGGCTATCAAGCAAGGCAAGAAAGTGTGGTCTATGTAGCACAAGCAAGTCATAATTCTCCGGGAAGCCGCGACGACTTCCTAAGACTAGAATTGAGGATGTCGTCTATCGTTCCGTCAATCGGAGACGGAATTTTCACAGTTTTATCTTCTCGGAGGGCACTTGGACACGTAAGACTCCCTGGGTACGGACTGGTCAGCACAATCCAGCGTAAACGGCACAAGCAACGTAGGCAGTCTAGAGGGCAAGAGAAGGTAGAAAAAATGGATACCTCTTGGACACATGTGGCCACCAAGATCCCCTTGGGAGACCAAATCCTCTGAACCACCAGCGCACGATCATTGCCAGCCCACGGGCTCTCTCTTTCGGAACACATCCACTCATCCGCCCGCACCGCTTCGGGGTGGTGGAAGTAAATTGTATGATTTAGACTAGCTGCCATGGCCATTTTGGTCCCGAACGTTTGACCCAGCAGGTCGTGTACTTGAACTGCGGCGCCAATAAAATATGCGTCGGACATATATGCCAGCGCCGCGAGCTGGGCCTGAGGACTCCTTTGCTGGATAGGGTCCTTGGCCCGCATCCAGTATCGGATCTGAGTGTTGACCAGGTCGTGAGATATTTCTATTTATTATCTTAGATTCGAATAAAAACAAAGGGAAAACAAGCTTCAATCACGGTTAGGGCCAGGGAAAGACTTACGATTCAGGATTTCCCCCCAGCGAGCCTCAAACGGCCCATCTACCCCCTTCCCATCCATCTCTGCTTGATCGGGTAGTGTCAAACCCTTGGGCATATTTCTCCCATGTTCGAGTCTCCCTGCCTTGTCAATATCACCGTTATTACTGTACGTTCCCACCCGCACAAAGTTGACGATTGCCTCAGAGATCACACCGGCCTTCTGGGTGGCGTGGACAGTCCTCGTGATGAAGCTTTTCCCATCGCGTGTACGTTCAACACGATATTCAATCGGTCGCTTTGGATTACCGGGGCTGACGAAGCCGCAGTGGAGAGAGTGGGCGACGTAGTCGCTCGGGATGGTCTTTTGAGCGGCCACAAGACAATGGGCAACAGTTGATCCGCCGTAGACTCCATAGCCGCCCGCGAAGCTCCACAGCGGTTGAGTGTTAGTGAAGTTATCCTGAAGAAGAAATTAACTACTTTAGAGAGAAAGATGACAAAGTAAAAAGCAAAAGAAAACAATCAAAGAAAGAGGCGTACCGGTTCCGAAGACACCGGCGTCAGTTCGACAGCCTTTTCAATAGGAATGGTGTATTTCTCCATTGCTGATTCGACGAATGTGCTAATCGAATCTGAGGGTGCTTGGCTATGATAAGGGGGATGAATAGCCGTCCTTAAGAGAATTTTAATCAAGAGAACCGTAGAACGAGTCCCGCACCATGTGACCGCGGGCCCTGACCCCTGCAGCATTCGCTCCTACAAGATTACGGTAACGTGGCTTGCTCCACATCCCCTGATTTGCCCTTGTTTATCTAGCTGGCACCTAACTCTCTACTCCCTCCATCGTCCGTCGTCGCCCACGCTGCTACTAGGCACGAACAACGTATACGATATCGACGGTGCGACGGTAAACCGGCGGCTCATGTGTAGGGACCTACCTACTAGACACTGTCGACCGTATGGCAGGGTGCTAGAGGAGTGCCCAGAGTCGGCTCATTGTGACTGGGTCGACATGGATCTTCCCGCCTGATTCCTTCCGTCGGCCTTGACAGCTTTCCCCGGTGCTATGTACATACCCCATGAAACTTCTTGCCCCGTCTGCCTATCTGCTCTCGTTCTCTGCTGCCATGGGAGCATGTCCGCTATAGGACCTGTGAGAACCGCCGGCACCGGCGCCGATCAGCTTCTGCGATGGCCGGAGGGCCGCAGACTTCACAGAATCCTCAGTCCGCGGCGGATACTCCTCCGTTCCGAAGTCTCTATCACTGCGCCTGCCGGGACCACTCTCCACCATAGAGGTTATAGAGGACCCACGGCTGCCTTCGATTGAGTCAGTCCGAGGGGCCGTCTGCTCGCAGCGATGTGAACCGCGCTAGGCATCAGCGGCCACTGTGCACCATTAGACGTGCAACTGCTGTCGTATTAGGACGGCTGCTGTTGTCTAAAGAGCGTGTAAACAGCAGGCATGTTCAATACCCATCTGTCTCTTCCGATAATCGGATGAAGCAGGGTTTGCGCAAAGGTACTTGGAGTAAACAGGCCTAACTTGCTGACAAACCCAAGATTACATACAAAAACATACGAGACGAGGGGCGTAGGAGAAACCAATGAGAGGAGGCTGTAAATAACACTCCACTTTGGTTGACTATAGTGCACCCCTCTATCAGTTTCTATTGTCAGACCATTCAACGAGTTTCTTGCTTTGACAACTACAAGATCCCTCCCTGCTTCTGTCGTGGTTTGTTCATCTTCAAAATATTCACGAAAAGTTCCGTCAAGATGCCGTTCTTCCAACCCCGAGTGACGCCGAGCCCATTGAATTTCAAACTCACAGGCCAGACAGTTATTGCTACCGGACCAACAGCGGGACTCGGCTTCAAAACCTGCCGCCAGCCCATGGGCCTTGAATACCATACCATTATTGTCGCTTGCCGTGATGTCTCCAAGGGCTTTCGAACCCGGTCAGCCCTCCTCTCGGAGTATGCTACCCGAGCAACCAAGCAAGATCCCCCGTCAGTAAAGGTAATCAAGCTCGACCTGGGCAGCTTCGACACTGTTTTATCATTTGCATCCCAGGTGAAGAGCGACATCCCGATTGTGGATATCCTGATATTAAATGCGAGATTTGGATATATGGGGGACTTCCATTTTACCCCCGACGGCCACGAAATTACTCTGCAGACAAACTATCTTTCCAATGTGCTACTCGTACTCGAACTCCTAGTTCGACCTCATAGTTGTCTACGCGAGTGACGGCCGGGGCCCGGCCGGGGCCCAATTAGAGCAACCTAGAAGTTCACTATCAGCTAAGAAGAATTCGCTAGACACGTTAGATAACAACATACCTACGTAGAAGCAAATAATTGGGTTACGTTCCCCTAGAGAGCTGATGAGTTACGGCATGACTGCTCGCTCAAGTGGTCGCGGAGATGCTCATTCGACTATCCGCATGAAAAGCCAAGCCCTCACACATGGACTATATCGAATAACAATTACTCTTATTGAGCTACACACAGATTCTCATAGACTTGGGGTTTCATTTTCAAAATAGTTCTGTCTTAGGCCTAGTCTCAATACGCCACCCCGTATATGTGAGACCCTCATCACACCACATATTAGTGGCGCGACAGCGGTTGAGCGTAGTGCATTAGGGGTGTACCCCTTTCTTGTGTCGACGAAACAGAGGTTTATGCTCAGTGGAGGACCATCCCCTTTATTTAACAAGTCGGAATAGATCTTAGATCAAGTTATGTCACAACATGGGGGCACATCTTCCTTTTGGCCATCTCGTGCTGCAAGATGTCGATAGCAGAAAAGAATATGTGCATTACCAGTACCAGTATCATGCTACAAGTCTATAACAGCCGACAATGTATGCACGTAAGCAAAACCCATGTTTTATTTGCTTTCACTGGCAAAATGTAGAGTCGAATAAAAGAGCCGAGGCGTCGGCCAATTAGCTTCTTTCTCCCCGTTCTCAATCGTAATATTTGGGCTTTATTGCAGGTAGCGAATGCACATAGTAGCACACGAGACGCCTAGACTCACTACGATTGATTGTACTATACAATTCAATCCAGGGTCTCAGACATTTTAGCGAGGACATACCCCCGCAATGGCTTGCTTTGCAGAGATGTGTGTATTCAGAATATGAACCTTAAGAAATATGTCATCATCTTGGCTCTTGGATGACCACTATAAGAACAGCCTCTACTCCTGCTCCTATAATATATTTAGCACCAGGGTTTCTTTGCATTTGGAGTTCTTTTCATTCCTAAAAATGCGTTTCTCATTTCTCTCTATCCTCGCTCTTGCGCCTGCCGCATTTGCGCTAGTCCTCGATACGCCCACAATGAAATCACGTCGGACTTGGGACCTAACATGGAGACTTGACACGGAGGATGTCGGCTTCTTTCTTACTCGAGACTTCAAAACATTCGACTTTATCGGTGTCGCTCCGGCTGAGCCAGAAAAGGCTACTTTTAGGGTACCAAGAGAGTTGCTTCGTCCAGGGTAAGAAAATAAATACTTAAGCTTGCGTTATTCAATTGAATAAGAATGTGACACTGATCTGGTCTGTTTAGTGATGTTTGGCTGGTCGCATACACTCACGACGGCAGAGGCCCAATCGGATATAGCGAGAAGTTTACTTTGGAATAAGCATTATATCCGGAGGTTGTCACGGATGTGATTCCAGAGTGCTCATTATCTGCCAGCTTGAATTTATAGGAATTTCTAGAACATCTTGTGAAATTACCCACCTAAAACGAATTCAGGATGTTCCCTATATTTACTGTTCAAGTTCTTCTTACATATAGCTTCAAAATAGCTTCAAGGCTGCCGTTTCCAACCCCTATACTAGCTGATGGGCCACGGTATGAATACTCGGACGAATACGCTTTCAAGTACTTGAACAAATATATAAGCTCTCATGTAAAAGCCATCTAACAGTTATTAAACGTGATTCCCATTCCAAAGGCCAAATCTAGTTGGTGGCCCTTCGATAGGTCACTACTCCCATCTGACAACATCAAATTAAACAACATAACTCCATGGCTCAACGACCAGCGCTCAGACACCCTTTCTCGATTAGTAATTTAAGGAGTATTTGGATTAGTTTTCCTCTTAGATCGATCTTGCAACTCGCGCCTGTCATTAGCTCTAGTTCTATTGAGGTCGCAGTGAATCAGGATACGTCTGAAATTGTCCACGGCCCCGGGGGTGTGTTTGACTGATTAATCACTCGCATTGTATGATTCTCTTCTACACGTAAGGTGATACATACCACCATAGGGTGTGGAAAACAGGGCTTCCCGTCCGCTCAGCCGTACTTAAGCCACACTGATACATTCAATCATTCATTCAATATGCCTTTCCCCTTGAAGCAGCGATGGAACCTTATTAGCCTGGGTGTGAAAAGTTGTGGTGATAGTGGCGGTAAATTCACACCCTAGGTGAGCATCCTACGCACCGAGGGTGTGAGCCCCACTCACCATGGGTGAGCTTACTTATACCCGTCCACCCTGACACATCAAGACTAGTAGTCTTTAAATCGAGTCTCCCACGCTATTTTTTTACGTTGAAAGCCATCTTATATCTTAAGAAATTATCACATTCTTCTAGCTATTCAATATAATGGCAAATATAATAAAAAGATCTTAGCAAGATTCTTAAGGCACGAGCCAAACTTATAGTAGCACAAGGGTTTACGCTCGAGTACTAAAAGGAGTAGTAATAACCAGAGAATCGTATTACGTACCCGAATTAGCACTGGCTACTCACGATAAGTACGATAGTATAGCGAAGAACTAGGTCTAGTAGGTTCTTAAATCAAATCTAAGCTAAGTTACTCGCTAATATATCTAGAAGGCGAAGACTTTTTTAAGGAAAATGATGTAACGGAAAAGCGTTATGGAAATGGATTCCAGGATCTTGATATACATTTAACTTCTTTGTCTCGAGTTTCTTTGATGGTTGCCAAGGATCGACCATGTGATTATCCTGGCAACTGGCAGTGTCCAAAGAGACTCGGAAGCTAGCTGGACACATCATCGTGACGGACACGATTCAGGGACGAAGAGATACAACAGTGCCTCCCCGGGAAACTTGGACTTAGCAAGAATTAGTCTCTGCACGAAGAATACTATACGTTTCTCCCCCCCACTGTTCGAGTCGCCTGACCAACAGGACTAGCCTGACGACTAGTATTTCTTTACACTCACTCGCTAGCAACCTGTCCTAAACTGGAGGTTCTTCGGATTCGGAGTCGGTATCTTCTTCGGCACTATCCTCGTCTATTACTCCTTCTGCGAATTCCTCTCCTACTACAATTTCCTGTGACGCCTATGTCGGACTACGAGATCATTGTGATGGTTTTGTCTTAAGCCTTTCTGGCTATTGGGAGGTTTCATTCTTATTTTCGGAATGATTTGGAAAATAACCAGCTTGTCGTCTGGCCCTACCTTTTTTTCCTTATTGTAGAGCAATAGCCAAACAATATGTTTCTAAAGTAGGTAAGGTAAATTTTAGTTTGCTGTAGCATCACTAAATCTCAGATCAAAACGTCTGAGAGACCGAGAAAACTGCAGAATGTGGTTACTATAACTGGTAATTCTCTAGGTAGTCGTACTGTGATAACTAACGGCGTGGTGAAACGGGTCCCTTTTGAGTTTATATATAGTTTAGCTTCCGCACGATCCGTCCCGAATCGGGATCCTCGCCGTATAAGTCAAGAGATCTCCTGGAAGCTCTAGGTCACGGCTCCAGAACTAATGGAGCATTGGTTCTGGTTTTGTAGGGATCTCGGTTGTGGGGTTTGCATTAATCAAATTTACTTCTCCCCTACAAGAGGGCTCCTAACATAAGAAGATGACGTAGACATCCGGAAGAGGGCTCGGAAGATCTCGCTTTTAAATGATAGGAACCATAGCCGGACATCTGTTGCTACGAAAATTGCGAAGGAAAAGAGGGACTCGAAGACTGGAAGAGAGATTTCATACTGGTGATGCTTTATTTTATGGCGGATCAGAGGAGAAAAATTGGTGTGGATGCTGGAAGCAACCTCGAAAACCCCGAAACCTCGATACTCGACCTCGCTCGCGATTATACGCTGGAAGGGACCCCTAGCAACCTTGACTCTCTCGCTCGCGAGCTAGCCCCTCAGAGCCACTCTCGATGCAAAAAGTCCACCATGGCAGGCCTGAGCCACCTCAGAGCGAGCCTCCATGCAAAAATCACCCCTTAGTCGTAGATAAAGATGTCTGGGTTAGTGAGTCTAGAAAGGTGCTTCAGAAGGATTTGTAAATGCCGGGAACGAAGGTTTAAGGAGCATTAAATGATGGAGGAAAGGACATTAACGGAGTAGTGTGCTAGAATTTCGTGTACAGGATGGATCGAAATCAGCTTCACCACTTACACGCAGAGATCAACAACAGATCCGTAGAGCTCTCCTCGGCCTCTTCTAGTGGTGTGGTGAAGATCTCCATAGTCAAAGTGCTGCCCCGGTGGTGTCGAGTGGCTTCGTACTCCTATATCGAGGATTGTATATGCTAAAAACTTGCTATCATTATCACACGTTACGTGTTTGTTTTTCTCTTGTAACTCAATCACTCCTCTCACTCAACTTCTTCCTCTTATATCTCACTCGACCGAGCATTCTCATCACCCTTTTGACCTTTCGCCTGTCATAGTGCATCAAAATTCCCAGTTCTATCAATATGCCATCCTCCAATGACAATAACAAGGCTCGCAAGCCTTCTGCGACTCATAAACGGCCCGCAAGGAGTCTCCCGTCCCCTTATCTGACGAGGAGGTCACCTTCCTAGAGAGAAGCCACTTACCGCCCGAGGTAGGTTGATCATATACCGGGAATTAGCACTTAGTTAATTCACCCACTCACTATGCCACCAATTCGCTCGCGATCCTCTACAAATTCAACAGAGCAAGAGGGTAGAATCTTATTAGCCATCCAGGCTTTTAATAATCAAGAAATTAGTGCTATTCGTGAAGCGACGCACCACTTTAACATACCCGAATCAACTCTCCGGACGCGTCTTCGTGGGACTACCTTCCGCGCTGAAACCCGCCCTAATGGTCATAAATTGACACAGATAGAAGAGGAATCACTTCAAAAATGGATTCTCTCTATAGATTCTCGCGGATCAGCCCCCCGCCCTTCTACCATACGAGAAATGGCGAATCTTCTACTTGAAACGCGCGGAACTACCCCGGTTCTTTCGGTCGGCGAAAACTAGGTTATAGAATTCGTTAAAAGGCATCCTCTCCTCTCCTCCCGATTCTCAAAACGGTGTAACTACGAGCGTGCGAAATGTGAAGATCCGAAAATCATTACGGAGTGGTCTAATCTGGTTAAAAAGAACTATCCTTCAATTTAGGTTCGACCCCGATGACGTTTATAACTTTAACGAGACCGGTTTCGCGATAGGGTTAACGGCAACCGCGAAGGTTATAACGAGGAGTAAATACTACTCTTGGCGAAGCACTTCTATAACCTAGAAATCGCGAGTGGGTGACGGCGATCGAGTATACGAATGCTTCCGGGTGGGCTCTCCCCCCGTATATGATTGTTCAAGGCAAAGTCTTTATTAAATCCTAGTTCGATAGCCTCCCGGAGGATTGGAGTTTCGAAGTTAGTCCGAATAGATAGACCTCCGATAAAATTAGACTTCGGTGGCTCGAAGCTCTTTATTCCTACTACTTCTTCGCGTAAGAAAGGGGGGGGGGGTGCGCAGCTCGCCCGTTACGAAATTAAGAGCTAAGCTCTTTGAAAGCGAGACTGTCCCCCGTAGAAAGTACTCGTCTTTCGCGAGTCTCTCCATATTTTTTATCCCCAACAACCATCATGACAGCTACCACTCCCCTAGCCCTTACTACCACTTTCTCACCACCACCAGCATGCACCACCGACACATGGTACATTGAATATGTGACAGGCGTGTACTACTACACCACTTCGATTTCAAATAGTCGTGAGGGCTGGTATCTGAGCCAGGGGGCCACGGACTGGAGCAGCAGTTTCCCCTCTGGATATAAGGCGACAACCGCTTTTTACTACTCACCAGGCGTGTGCCCATCGGGCTATTCCATAGCCGACTCGACGGTTCTTAGTATTGGAAGCAGTTCTGAGACCAGGGCAACCTGTTGTCCATCGTGAGTTCATTTCATACAAAGATAGACATCTTTGGATCCCTTCGTTTATTAATAATTGTCGGTTTTACTAGCAGTTTTACCGCCCAACTTGGTGATGAAATGGTTTGGTACTTGACCAACAGATGCTACTCGGATAACACAGATACAAATCATGTATGGACAGTCACCCAAGGGGGAACGATAACTAGCAAAACGATGTCTGGCGGTCTGAATGCCAAGGCAGTTTTTGTTCGATGGCAAGAAACCGACTTTCAGACGACGGCCACGGCCACCACAGACTCAGCAACCAGCACGGGGTCAACCGCGAGAAAAGCCGTTTCGAGCTCAGGGCCACTGGCTACTGCAACAACCGCCACCACAGATCAGAGTGGTCCATCGCAAGGAGGATCTTCAAGGGCATGGATTGCATGGATTGCAGGGCCAGTCATCGGGGTTGTGGTTGGGTGCACCTTGATCGCGTTAGCCGCCACATGGTACAATCGACAACTCTGGCGTCAAAAAGGTCCTATAGGAGCCGAGCTTCCAGTTAAACCCTCGACAGAGCCTCCGCACGATATGGCAGAACTTCACCAAGAGCCCAAGGTGTTTGAAGCCCCATGCAAGCCCCCTTACCCGGGACCGTTCGAACTTCCTACAATACAACATCGATAATGGCCTTCTCTTTGATTTGTCGAGGGTTTATTTGATCCAAGTCTTGAACGGGAGTATGGAACCGTCTTACAGCAAGAGTGGGAAACTCGATCTAGGTGTTTTGTGACTGGTATCCAGTCTGCCTTTAATAAAGGTCTCGGGGAGTGAAGCTTCTTTGAAAAGTTAATTTACGTAATAATCGGATTCTGATGCACTGCGGTAGCCAACGAAAATCACATGATTCGAAATTGTATACACCTCGAATTCTTACAAGACCCTTCTAGCTAGTCGCAATTTTCTCTCGGCTTCCAAGATTATATACTTGGTTAAGTTATACCCATTCCATCCTGCTCAGAAGTAATCTTGGAATGATTCTCACGGAAGCCGATCTCGTCAAGCATATAGTAGCCACATACTCTACGTGGTCAGTTCTCAATATGTCCCTGATGCTTAGACGGCACCCGAGGGTACGGGCGGGTGATTTAGGTTAAACCTCTGGATACTAGGGCGAGAAAGAGGCGTTCGCAGCCCCGACAGACTCGAGAATCCACACAGTTAACTTCGCGTGCCCCAAAGTACGGTAGGGGTCACTCTACGAACACGAAGCGCGGTGAAAGTGAGAAAACTCCACGATACCGACAAAGCTCCCACCAGACTCACGACATTCGTCGTGATATAGAAAAGCTGATACGCCAGCTTTCTCAATGGGAGGATGGCTCTAGGAAATCCCGGCGGGGAACGAGACGTTAGTAAATTATTTTCGGACTAATCTTTGCTTGGAGCTGGTCTCATTTCTTCGGTTATTTTGTTTCTTTGCTGTTTTGCGTTGCTTTGCCTTCATAAATTGGAACCATAATGAGGCTGCGAATGAAACTATATTCGCAAACTAGCAATTTCTTAGGAATAGCGGATTCTGATTCCAAATTTATCAAAGACAGGGTTTATATTATTATCTGGTGCCCTAAAGCCCCACTATCGCCTGAACAGCAGTTAAGCAGGGGGGTATTTTTGGATGCACTGCGGAGCAGCAGGAGAAGGTTCATTAGAACATAGAAGATGGCTCCGCAAAGAAGAGGGCTCCATAGCAACTTCCAACTGGCCCAGGTGGCCCCTCAGGGTCACCCTCGAAGCAAAACAGATCAATAGTAAGCTCCCCGGGCTCATAACCTGTTGGAATCTACGTGCTAGAAGAGGTCATAAAAGAGAGCTACAATGTATGGTATTGTGGAACGAGAGTATTGTTCGTTACAGAGAGAGGAAGAAAGGGTAGAGACTATGTATCTGTCAGCCGGAAATACACTTCCCCGTCCCGTCATTTCCTGTATTTACTTTCTAGCTACAGGGCCCACCTTAGCTCTACTTAGTCAGCAAGCAGCAAGCTACCAAGCTGAGCAACTTGCTCCTTTTTAGAAATCACACTCATTTTACCACTTGCTCTGTATAGTAAGCTTTTGGTATTAGTTCACATCAGTCCCACTTGTTCGACAGTATCTATATAGTGGAGACTAGATCATGTGACACTTGAGAGAATTGAACACTTGTTGCTATCAATGTAGGAGGCAGAGCACCAGAGATTACCTATTGAGACTGTATTCAACTAATGTTAATAGGCGGTATTGTTACTAACTGCGTGGAGAGAAATGTGAAAAGCATGGAGAGAAGAGACCCTTTGATTAGCTAGGCAAGCTTCTTATATTTCCGTGAGATGACGCTATTTGATAACGAATTCTTCTGGCTTGACGCTTGATGCCCTGTTGCCCACTGAAAAGAAAGTCTTTATCTTATAGAGAGTACGTAGTTCCTCGTAGCGGTAGTACTACCGCAGCGTAAGTAAACCGACATAAAACGTCGAGAGAGG